TTTATTGGGTGACAACGATACAGATGATTGTTGGGCGGCAAGTGGCGACGCTCGTCCGGTCGCCGTCTGTTGCACGCCCGCACCGCACGGCCACACGCCTGCTGTCACCCGTGAATAAGTTACCCCTGTGCGTCAACCCTCCATTTGCAAGTGGAAATTGAAATCGAAATGACGATTTTGACTGCAGGTGAGGGTTATGCCGATTCAAATTTGCGTAAAAATGTTGTGGGTAAGTTTGTGTGCTTAAAGAGGTGTGTGTGTGTGTGTGTGTGTGTGTGTGTGTGTGTGTGTGTGTGTGTGTGTGTGTGTGTGTGTGTGTGTTTCTTTCTTTTCATAGTTCTCTTTTGAGAGAAGGAAAGATATTTCCGTTTTAGTGCAAGATGTAAGAGATGGTATTTTTGGTGGAACAGTGCGAGATCATGTTAGGAGATGTAGGCACATTGTGGAAGAGGAATTCTTCGTCATTTCATAACGCATGCAAGTTATTGATTCCTTTGTGCGGGCAGGTCATCGACACGGCCAGTCCAAAAGTTAGAGAAAAATCAAATATTAGTGTGTGTCAATGGATGTTGAGGGGATGGTATAATTTATCATCAAGTTCCATTTAAAGTGGGAGGGACAACAGTATTTTATTTGCAGTAACAGTACATGGTACTTTGTCTTTCAGCAATTCTCTGAAAATAAAGAATGCATAAAATGTGCTCCTTGCCAAAGCAGATACATCTTGGTCTTTAACCTCATAAAAGAAGGCTGAAAGCATAAACCTTCGCCCCGATTACAATAAAATGTCGCAAAGACATAAAAATAAAAGTGCGTCGCCCACAGCACAGCCCGGGAAGCAATCGCGATCCGAAGGCAATCGGAGGCGGTCACGATCTGCCCCGAAAGAGGACAAGCCGCCTGCGACCGACGAACGGGATGCTCAGCGTTCAATCGTGACTCAGGATGAGGCACTGCGGCCAGGACGCGGCAGGAATTTCCCGGTTTCGCCTCTTGCCTGACAGGGCCGGGAGAGTCTTCCTGGCTTCGAACCGACCGCCATGCCGATTTCGAATTTCGTTTCAGAATTCGTTATGCACAGCTTCGAAACTCAATTCGTACGCCGATGATATTTATGTTATTTGCGAAAAATTCAATTCGTTTACAATGGTCTTGGTGAGAACTATACATCGTTTATTCATTACTATTTTAGTAGTCTTCAGCATGGTAATGATATCAAGTGTTAGATAAACTATTCTAGCTTCTTTTTTATGATAATTAATCCTATTTATATTAAATCATAATCAAGAATAGCAGTACTTACCTATTCAAGTTCCTTTGTTTTGTCCATTCACATCCAGACAATGAGGATCATCGTTTTCCTTTGTTGAGCTATATATTCTAGGAGTGTTTGCGCATTATTAAGATAAAACTAACATTATTTCAGATGCGCGGAGTTAGGCCATGTACAAGTGATTTATCTGGAAAAGAGTGATGAGTGTTTGTGTGCGTGAATATAATGAGCTACGAGGGAACGGCCGGGAAGGTGATGGAAGACGGAGCGGGAGGAGGGCGGAGGGTGAGGGGGAGACTGTTATTTGTAGGCAAAAATATATATGAATATTTTTTTTCCCAAGGCGCACCAAGGGATCTCCTCCCGTCGTGTTTACCCACCCGAAGGACCTCCTTGCTGGCGGAAAGGACCTGTCGCTGCTGCCGATGATACGGCACGAACCTTCCCCGCCCCTCCTCCTCCTCCTCCTCCTCCTCCTCCTCCTCCTCTTCTCTTCTCTTTGTTCATCCTCTAACTTCCTTGCCGTCTCTCTTCTTCCTCGCCATATCTTCCTCCTTCTTTCCCTCTCACTTTTTATTTCTTTCCGCTTATGTCATTCTGTGCCCCTTCCTTCA